ATACAAAAAATTATGGATAAGCTTATAAATCTACTGAAGAGACCTGAGTGCCTTATTTTATTCTGAAGTGCCGGGCTGGTACAATAGTTAAGGATCTTGACTACTGACCAAAAACTTATATAGGCTTATATTCCCTCAAAGACACTTCAGAATAAAGGTTTTACAGTCTGCTCTCAGAAGATAAGTCACTGAAAACTGTGTGGAGAACAGGTTCTACACTGACACATGTGGGTCGCCGTTAGTTCACTTAAAGCGACTGGTGGTTTCTGGTAATCTTTTTCGAAATAGGTGTTAAGTGGGATGTTAAAAATACATATAAAGTCAAATGATTAAAAACAAACCACAGAGAAAGTTAAACATGGTGAAACAAAGTGTGAAGTGATAAAATATATAGATTTTATTACAAACCGTTGACAATTTTTGAAGGTTTAGATTTTAGTAGCTAACAAACTCAACTCTTTGCTTTTGAGTCAGAATAAACTCTTACTTGTTCCTGCAGCAGGTTTTCAAAAGCTGTAAATCTAATGAAAGCAGACTTTCCATCTTTCTTCCAAGGAGCACCTGGTGGATTTGACTTGTCGGCCTGTAGGGTCATAATGTAACTCCTTACCCACTAAGCCAGCAGAGCTAGGAAAGCGGATTTTAAAATGTTTTGTGTACATTACCCTAAACCGTTTCTGTTGCTCATGATACAGACAGCATGACTTTTCCTGGTGCTACTTATTAAGAAAAAATCAGGAGTAGGGGGAGTTCTCCTCACTCCAAAAGAGTGCAATGTGATGAATTTTATCCTTAATAATAATCCCTAATTGTACAATAGACCCAAGTGGCATGTGTTCTAGTTTTTAAAAATAAAATATTTTATTTTAATTGTCATTTTAACAAGTTTACAGAAAACTGAGATTTTTCATTCATTTATTGTTGCACATTTTACCCCCTCTTCCTCCCTTCCCCCTCCCCAAGCTGACTCTTTTTTTCTTTTCATTAGTTTATTTACAAAATTCTAATACAAATTCAAGCGAATTCTTTCAATTTCCCTCACCCCACTACCCATCAAATTGTACAACTCAATGATTAATCCCCTCTGCCCCTGCACATCCACATCCCTCTGCTTCCAGCCTCTCCCATTCCTCCTGTATCCTTATACTCATTGTACAATAATGGTCTTATACAATGTTTATCCTTGTGGGACTGAGTTAGTTCACTCAGCATAAAGCTCTCCAGTCCCTCCAAAGTTAGGGAGCTTCTTGAGAACAACTCAGCAGATCATATCCCTTCTGAAAAGGTTGTTGTTGTTATGTGCCATCAAATCACAATCAACTCATATCTGATACAACAGCAGATTTTGAGGCTGTAAATCACATGGGAAGAGATTGCCCACATTTTTGCCATGAACAGTATTCGAACTATCTGCTTTTGGATTGACAATGCAGCTACTTACCACTCTGCCACCAGAGGTCCCTTCTTAAAAAGCTTAATAAAAAAGGAAAAAGACTAAAAAAGTTGAAACTTTTTGCATTTTTTTGTTTTTAGAAGGTGAGATTCTTTTACTGTCATATTTTTTGTCCCTGAACTTGGACAGCAAGGAGTTCCTCAAATGACTCATGAAAGACTGAAAAAATAGAACAAAGCTTTTTTGTTCATAGGGTTGCTATGAGACATTCTCAACAAAGGCAATCAACATGAACAACAACATCCAAGACCAGAATGCAAGTAAATACATAAGTAAATAAAATAAGTAATTTCTATCCTGTGACCAACTAAAGGGAAATGAGAAACGGAATGAGTGAAGAGAGACTTAGCGTCAGACACTGGGACAGAGGTGGCTATTAGCCTAGGCATTTGCTGTCCTCTTGTTGTTATGTGCTGTCGAGTTGAATATGACTCACGTGACTGTGAATAACAAATCTGAACCTTGGCCCATTGTATGCCATCCTCTTCATCTCTGATCTACTTCAGCCCATTGCTGTTGTTACCGTGTCTGTCCATCTTGTTGAGGGGCTTCCTCTCTTTTGCTGACCCTCCACTTTTCCAAGCATGATATCCCTTTCCAAGGAACAGTTTCTCTTAGTAACACGCCCAGGTTAGGTAAGATGAAGCTTTGTCATCCTTGCCTCCAAGGAACATTCTGACTGCACCTTCTCCAAGACACATCTGTTAGTTCCTTTGGCTGTTCATGGGATAGTCAGGGCTCCTCTCTAACACCACAGCTCAAAGACATAAATTCTTCTTCTGTCATCCTTTTCCATTGTCCAGCTCTTAGATGTACAGCAAGTGATTTAAAAGACTATATGGCCTGAATCAGGTGCACCTTAGTCTTCAAGCTGAAATTTGGATAGGTCCCTGACAGAGGACTTGACCAGTACAATACATCTCCTGACTGCTGGTACCAAGAGATTGTAGATTCAAGTAAGATGAAATGATTGACAATTTCAGTCTTTTTCTCATCTGTCATGATGTTGCTTATTGGTCCAGTGGTGATGACTTTTGCCTTCTTGATATTGGAACGCAATCCATAATGAAGGCTGTATTCTTTGATCTTCTGTAACAATTGTTTCAGGTCCTCCTCACTCTCAGCATACACGGTTGTGTCACCTGCATAACACAGGTTGTTGAGTGTTCCTCCAATCTTGAAGGCACATTCTTCTTTATAGAGTCCAGCTTCTGGAATTATTTTTTTTAGCATATATATTGAATAGGAATAAAGAAAGGACACAACCCTGACCCATACTTTCCCTGTTTTAAACCATGTGTTGTTCCCTTGCTCTGTTTGGACAGCAGCTTCTTAATCTAGGTATAGTTTTTACATGAACATAATTTAGTGTTATGGGATTCCCATTATTCTCAATGTTAGCCAAAATTTGTTATGATTCACGCAAATACCTTTGCATAGTGAGTAAAACACAAATAGACAATCTTCTGCCTTTCTCTGCTTTCAACCTGGATCCATCTGATATCAGCAATGATATCCCTGGTGCCACAACCTCTTTTAAACCCAGCTTGATCTTCTTCTGCCAGTTCTCTCTCATTGTACTGTTTTGGCCATATTTCGATATCTTCAGCAATATTTTGCTTATGTGTGATATTAATGATATTGTTCAATTCTCTCTATATTCTATTGGATCTCCTTTCTTGAAAATGGGAACAAATATGGGTAAGTCAGCCAAGTAGCTGTTCTCCAAATTTCCTGGCATAAACTGGTAAGAATGTCCAGGGTCTTAGAAGAAGAAAATACTAGCTTTACTAATGAAGCAAGCAGAGCATTAAACAAATCAAATCAAACCCTGTTAAGGAACACATTTTTAAATGGGAAAATTTAATCCTATCCTAAGACGTTTAAGAGAGGAAGTAGAAAGGAATAACTATCTTTCAAGTTCCCATTAAGTTGACTTTAGGCTTTAAAATACCTTAGACCTCTATAAGGAACCCTTGTGTGTGGTGGGTTAGTCATTGTTTGAGCTGTTAATTTAAAATCAAAGGTGTGAATTCATTAACTGCTCCAAAGAAAAAGGATGGACAGTTCACTTTCATAAAGATTTTCTACCTCTGAAACCCAGCTGAGTGTCAGTATTAGTCACAATCACCGGGACAGCAGTGGCTATGTGGCTTTTAATAGCCCCATTTTAAAGCAAACCCCACAGTTAGCCTGTTCATACACTTAACCCACTTGTAATAATTGTATCCACCTCAAGCCCTCTGGCCATATCTAAGTATCTTGCTCACTCATATGATGCCTGGGTAGCCATATATATGCCTACACACCCTTTCAATCTGTTCATTTTCCTGGTCCATTCATGGTCCCTTCATAGTACCTCAGTGTTCTAACTAAGTGTCCATATTTCATGTTTATATGATTGGAGAAACTATGACTTGAGTCAGATGCACCTTACTCTTCAAAGTGACATCTTTGCTCTTTAGCACTTTAAAGATGCCTTTGGCAGGCTGCATAGTGGAGTGGACTTGGGGGAAGGGATTGTAGTTTTACTTTTCAAACAGAAGAGTGAACTGGGGGAGAGGTTGGGCAGGGAGAAAAGTGCAACAATGAATGAATGGAAATCCAAAGTCTCTGTAAACTTTCATTAAAATTAATTAAAAAATATAAAAAAATCAAAACCAAACAACAACAAGAAAAGAACTTAGAAAAATAAAAAGATATCCTTGGCAGCAGATTTCTCCCATGAAATACTTAATTTGATTTCTTAACTGATGCTCCTATGGGTTTGATTTTCGATCCTGATTAAATAAATCCCTGACAACTGCAAGTATATTCTCCATTTATCATGATGTTGCTTTTTACTCAAGTTGTGATAAATTTTGTTTTATGTTAAGATATAATCCATACTAAAGCTATAGTTTTAATCTTCATTCATTCATCATGATTTTGTTTATTTACCCAGATGTAGATGATAGGCAGATAATAAAATACTGCTTGTTAACAGTAAACTTGAGGCACTGATGAAGATCAAAGTCTATAATGCTCAACAAAGAATACACCGCAAAAATCATCATAACTAGATTAATAAACATATCTGTGATGTCATTCTATCCAATTGCAACAGTTGGGGTTCAGTGATGGTTCTAACATAGGAGGAATTGAATCAATTTTGCCTGGAGCAGCAGAGAATGTCCTTTACTTCATAGGACACCTATCTACGTAACTTTAATGAAGTCTCTTGTCCTTGTATTTCATGTTCAGCCATACCGCAGTGGGTAGTGGATTTAGAGTCAAATGTCTCAGGCTGGAATCTATGCCACCTAGAAGAAATCATGCACTATGTCTCGTCTCATCTTCATCTTTATGTAACAAAGTCATCTCCCTAACAAGTTGATGTGTGAGAATAAGACACCATAGCATTGACATGCTTGGCACCAAGTCACCTAAATGTGCTAGTTGACACCTCTGAAGTCAAACTAATGGTGGCAAGTCAGGTTTTCATTTGGTTGTAATGATAAAAGTGAGTAGGAATAATTCTGTGTAAGTGTCTCCATCTCAATTTTAGATGGGAAGCTGTACGATGCCTATGTCTTATACCCCAAGCCTCAGAGTGGAAGCCAGCACCATGACATGCACATGCTTGTGTTGAAGATCCTTCCAGATGTGCTGGAGAAGCAGTGTGGATACAAGTTATTCATATTCGGGAGAGATGAAGTTCCTGGACAAGGTATGTTTTATGCAAAGAATAAAAACAACAAATGGATAAAGGGGAAAGGACTCTCTCAACAAATCTTTATAGAGTTTTGACTGTGTGCCAGTACTGGACTAGGCACTTAAGCCCCGGCTGTCAAATCCGTTCCAACTCACAGTGAGTTCCTGTGTGGTAGAGTAGAACTGCGTTTCACTTTGCAAGTGGAAGAGTCTTGACTTGCCGTCACCTGGGTCTACTGGAAGTCTTTAACCAGAGCTTCTCCAACCCCAACCCAAGGTGTTTAGGACCAAGTTGCTTCTCTCCTCAGTCTCATGTTTAAAATATGATGATGCCTGGATTTCCTGGTTGAAATAATGTGACTCTTTTTGAAGTAAGAACTACTTAAACTCACTCACATGTGCAGGAGAAGAGCAATGATATAATTTAGGTAAAGAGATGAGGGGCTCTCATATCATTGAAACTAACTGCTCAGTGCATTCAGTTGATTTGAACATCTAAATCATGTTTAATGCTGGTCGTTTAAGAGTCAATGTCAAACCCCTCTCCTACCTAAATGAAAGATTTTTTCTTTTTTTTTTTTTTAAGCAAATGTCTTTATTTGCTTTTCCCATTGAACAGGAGGTCTGTTGTCTCATTGGGAAGATGGAGATAAGATTGCTTCTTTGATAGCTACACAGAATGAGGTGAGGTTAAGGTTATGAAAAGACCAATGACCGTTGTAACCCTCAGCACAAATTATACACTAAACAAATGCATTTCCCTCCTGTCCTGTACATGCACTTCCTCCAAAAGCTATATAGTGAAATGACTGTTAATTCATTTCTATTTCTAATCACCAGGAAACTGAAATTACAGCTTCATAGTATGTGTCACTGCTACTGTTGTTGAATTGATTGAGAACAAATTGGTTGCTACCCAAGTGAATGCAGAGTAGATTTGTTCCGTTGGATTTTCAAAGCCTTTGAGAAGCAGATCATCAGGTTTGGATTGTAGCATTTAGGATGCCTTAGTGGCAAAGGAGATGCGTTGCCAATGCAAAGGCTTGCAGTTTGAATCCACCAGCTGCTCCGCTGGAGGAAGATGGGCAATGTCCTGCTGTGCGATTAACTGCCTCTGAAAATCCACTGGAGGGTCAGCTGTGGGTCGGTTCTGTCCAGACGACAACAGTGGCCGACTAGGTGTTTCTTTAGGGTGCCCTAATGGCACAGTCCTCAGGGAGGTGCACCGCTCATCCAAAGGCTGTTCTTCCCTGGCAGTTTGAATCCACCAGCTACTTCTGTACGAGGGAGAAAGACAGATAATCTCCACCCCTGTCACCCCAAAACCTGCTGGAGAGTCAGTTAGGAATCCGTTCTGGTTCAATGACAATGAGGATTTCTGAGAGATTACTTTTTTAAAAAGTTTTCAAGTACCTTGGATTTCTAGGTTGCTAGTTTCCACAGTGATGTAATTCTGTCACAGCAGCACAGGCCCTTTGAAGTTACAAAGTCATCTTCTATGAAAAATTGAAATGTGACCTAGTGCTTGTCATAAATATGGAGAAGAGCCCTTCTCTCATGAGCATACTGACATTTAAGTTTTCAGACACTAAGTCAACAAATATTTACTGAGCTACCTAC